AATAAGTATTTATAGCCAAGCACTTTCAATAAATACATAGAAAATATAAACATTATAATAATTTTTTATTTTTGGTTTAGTTATTATATATATATATATATATATATATATATATATTATATTTATTTTTTAAGATACTTGATTTGGAGCACCTAATTCGGGATACATGCCTCTCGCCCCCAGGCTTGCCGAGTTGGGTCGCCCTAGTTTATCTCAAGTGTACCGTACTACATACATACAAGAAAACAAAAACGTAGTTGATGTTTACCAGAAGAGGAGGCAGCGAACTTGTCCATTTTGTGAGCAAAGAGTGTCATAAACGCTCTCTCAAACAATCCATCTTTGTACTGCGTTTTTTGGCCCATGGGTGCGGGCACACCTGAAGGCTCAGCTAAGCCGCATCGCACGCCTCTGCTCACCCTCCAGGGCGTCTGACGATGAATACGGCCGACGCTGCTGCCTGAAATAATCGGGCTCTGCATGCAAAGCTCCATGAACAACAACAATAATAATGATGGTGAAAGCCTTTACTCTGAATGGTCATATTATTTTCTGAAGCCAATTTCTCAGTTGCTCTGGTACACAAATTGGGTTGCAAATGGATTTTGATTTGTGTGGCAGCTGATTCTCAGAATTATCTATATTATTTTTTGAATTGATTTGACCCATTAATACTTTCATGTTCACAAACTTGGACACAGGCCCGAATTTAGTTTGGCTTTGTTTTATGTTGTGGTGTGCCTGCCACGCTTCATTTACCCCGCTCACAAAATCCCACCTTTGTTCTACTACTACACTCCAAAAAACTGTGTGGTAGTTGGTGCACCGCGTTTTATGAGATTTTCCCATTTGATTTTCCCATTTATATTGTTTACATGAAGTCAGATTCATTCTCACTCATTAGATACCAAATTGGATGACCCGGATGAGTTGTGAGGTTCAAGAATTTTTTTGAAACTTTGGATCTATTTAATAACACTCTTACAACTACCTATTTGAAATTTGAGTGACAAATATAATTGTGACCTCTATGTCCAAAAGATAGATAGGATCTTTATAGACAATGTGGCTTTTCGTTTTTGGGATAATTATGATCCCACTTTTTATATTGAGACCCATGTTTATAATCGGCAATTTAGACTCCCAGGTGGAGTAGAATTGTATTCAGGGGTAATTTGAAAATTTTATGCATGTTAAATTATTTATTAAGTATTGTTATTAGGTATGCGATATGAAAATTATGAACCAACAAAATTTGTGCTTACTCAGATGTAAAGTAGGACTTTAGTGTAGATTATCAAATATCTGGGACTATTTTCGAATTCAAAACATAAAGGCTTTATAAAAGGGTATATGTGATCCGGATTATCCATTCGAAAAACCGGATCCGATTGGCTGATTGGTGGTCCAGATCAACGAGTCGGCCAGATCCGGCCTTAAAAAGTTTTAAAAATCCATTAAAGTTTCTTAAAAAATCTAGTTTCTTTTATTTCCAAAGAATTAGGGGCATTGTGTTGTAACTTTTCATTATTTCATCAAAAAAATGTAAATATTGAAAATCTGCTTCATGCCTAGGTGTTTATTGACAACTGCATCCATTTCACTTCAAAATGAAATTTAAAATGCAACTTATTGCAATAAAATGGATTTCTAACTCAAATGTTTTTAATAATCTCCATTACCACTTTTACTTATAAATATATGGATCTTGCCTACTCATTTCATATTTTTTTCTTTTTTTGAATTGAAAATTAATTTATCAAAATACTTTTGTTATTTTCATTTGTATTTTTACGGTAATGAAGTTGCATAAGTCTAAGGATTAAAACTTTTTTTTCCTTATTTTTCCGTATGGTTTTTGTGGAACTCCCTCATTAGAGACATTGCTCTATTATTATTTTTTTTTGTTTTCTAAATTTTATTTTGCTTCATTATAACATGATGTTTTCTCGTTCAAAAGTAACTGGTTAAATTTGAAAATTTCTAAATCTTCTCTTCTTTTTTTTTTTCTCATCGCCACTCTTTGTGGATGTACTTTAAAATGGAACTTTATCTAGAAGAACCAAAAGCAATCAATAACAGTAACGGGTCACAAAAATTGCATGATCCTCTTATACCATTGTCTCTAATTGGAAACATTATATCATGCCTTTGAAAAGTTGGTGTGTCTCGACAAATTTTTGGATCATAAACTTATTCTTATAGGATTGTATACTATGAGACCATCTATTTTTTGTATAAAGAGGTCACAATCATTCTTAGCCATTGGATGTAATATTTAATGGAGTGAAGTGTGTCACAACAATTGAGAAATTTTGTTTGGGATATCGTGCCAAGTCAATGACACATTCTCACCTACCGGATTCTGCATCTAACGAGAAATAGTAGTCGTAATTAGTGTTGTTAGATTCGCTTCAGTTCGGCAAAAAAGGCTCAAGCCTTTGGATTTTAGATCTAGACCAAAGTGATGCGATGCTCGATGCTGCAGCTTCGATCAACTTTGGCCTGCTTCAGGTCGCTTTAGTCTTATTCAGCCGCTTCAGCAGAAGCTTTGGCCTCTTCGTCGAAACAAAACGACTTGATGACATGCAACCTCATGTATAGTTTATTGGATTGTTGAGATTCATTGTACTATGACGGACATAATCGTCATATCTACCAAAAATGAGTTTCTCTTTAGGATTTTGAAAAAGTTTAAGACATCCGATTGGAGGTCTTTTTAGGATCTTTACAGCCGCCTACGAGAGGACTTCGAGGCTCAAGCCAAGATGGGTCTTGACCGTTTTATACAAAGCGGAGGATGTCCTGCACTTTGTGGGAAAAAGCCGTAGTCTACACAAGTAAAATTACGTTATTAACATTGGTTAAAACTTATTAGTTGAAAAATACTGTAAGTTACATTTTAGGCTTCCATATAATGTAAAAAAATTAAACTACATTTACCTTCATTGATAAAAACAAATTGAACCATTGAATATCAAAGCAATATATTTTTTTTCTTTATGAAATTTTTTAATTTTTTATTATTTTAATATATTTTATGTATAAATATATATTTTATTTATATTTAATTTTTTAAAAGTCCGAAGTCTTCTCCCGAATTAATTGAAGTACAGAATTGATTCATTTTTTTTACAAAAGTAAATAATCTCATTATATACATTTCCTATTATTATTGTCATTGCACTTATGTTTTCTTCTCTTTTAAAGTTGGGTTTATTAAACCTCTTGTACTCATGTTGGGTTTATTATTATTATTATTATTTTGAAGAACAGTCATTTTATTTAATCAACACAATAACCAACTTTACAACATAATTAAACCTCCAGGCTACAACCAAGGACACACAAAACAAACAGCCAAACAAGTAAAACAAACCTGCTACTCATAATCTTTCAACAATTAAACTGCTATCACGCGCACCTAGTTTTGCAAGTCCATCTGCCTTCATATTACTTTCTCGATAAACATATCTAACATTACACTCCATCTCCATACAACAGTCTTACACTTCAGACCAAGATTAAAAAAATGGCAACTCGACGGGTCGACACGGGAATCACCCAAGCTGCGTCGTTTTAGGCGAAAAATCGGGAACTGTCCGATTCGTAACAGTAAATCGCCACCGAGTCTTAGAGAGAACCGCCCGAGTCGTGGCCAAAACACAAATGAACAGTGCTGAGACAAAAAAAACGTCACGAGATTGTTGTAGACTACAGTTTTTCTTCAATTTTCAGCCTTTTCATTGCATTATTGTGTGAAATTATTCGTTTTTTCATTATAAAATAAGGAATTCAGACGATTGAATCACAATTTGTTTTTCATTTTTCACAAAAAACCCTAAATCTGCCATTCTTGAGATTTCTTCCCAAATATTGTATGTTTTTTGTTTGGATCAGAGGGTTTTTTAAGGAAATCATTTTCTATAGATGATTGTAGTATTTTTTTTTTGTGATTCAGTAAATATTGGAGGCTGATTTGTTAGGAAATCAGAGGTTTCGTGAAGAACCGTTGGTGGAAAAATAAATTCCGCCAATCTTGAGATCTGAATCGATATGGGCAAAAAGTTTCTTGAAAATAGAGGGGTTTTGCTTGGAATTCTGATCTTCATAAGCTATTGCATGCTTTTTGCTTGATTTGATCGATTTTTCACGAAATCAGAGGGATTTTGTGAAGAACAGTTGACGAAAAAAAAAAATTCTGCCAATCTTGAGATCTTGATCGATATAGGCCGAAATTTTTCTTGAAAACAGAAGGGTTTTGCTGATGATCTTGATCTTCATAAACTATTGCAGGCTTTTTGTGAGATTAAGCAACACTAGTTGCTCGAATTTGCAAGAAATCGAAGGTTGCTCGAAATTGAGGTATGCATATGTATTTTTTAATTTTATTGTCAATTTTATTAATGCACTAAAATATAATTAAACTTTGATTAATACATAATTATGCCATGAATGTATAATTATCATGCAATAAAAATTTGTATTTTTAATTTGTTATTGATATTATGTGATTGTGAGAAATTTTTTTTCTTGATTCTAGGTTTCACTTTTATTTCTTCTATTCACTATTGTACTTAGTTTTGCTTTATTTCCATATTATAGGTTTGAATCATGTGTTGTGTTTTCAGTTTCATTGTTAACTGATTACAAATGCATGGGTCTTTGCATTGTAAAATACTTAACTGGTTTTTTTTCATGATTTATGATCTATCTAAAGTTCATTGACTAAAATTCTTTTTCATTATTTCAAATTTAATTATTGTATTCTACACCAACGACATTAGATTTTTGATGTATAGAAAATGAATGGGTCTTGCGTTTTCTTTCATGATTTATGGTTTATCTGAAGTCCTTGCTTAAAATCTTTTTTATTACTTCAAATTCAATTATTGGAGCCTGCACCAACTATATTAGGTGTTTGATGTATAGATAATAGTGTCACTCACATCCATTGGTTAAATATGGTGTTTGTTGTGGTCTATTTAGTATGGGCATGGTCAGACCTCATGGTTCCTATCTTTAGGGAAATTGGAGTGGTTAGATTGATGCAGGTATTGTAGGCTAAAACATGTGCTATGATGTGCTAGTTGTGGGCTTATGGTGTCTTCATTAGATGGGGATCAATACTTTGTGCTTTATGAATGTTGCCTCTTAGATTGATAGCAGTGACACTAAAGAAAGATTCAAAAGATAATTTGTTGGAAAACATGTTGTCTATAATGGGAAATAACCAACACTGTAGGGAAATATGGGTAGGTCAACAGTGGATAATAAAAAAATGCATTTAATAAAAAAATAGAATAATTAGAAAACATCAAATAATTCAGCAAGGGTTTTTCATTCTAAAAAAAATTTGGCAAGGATTTCTAGTAACTTAGGGCTTGTTTGAAAGGTGGAAGGCCCCTTTGCCACAAAAATGTGGGAAAGCCACACTCCCCTATTTTTTGGCTTCCACCGATCAAACACGCCTTTAAAGAATTTAGAACTAAGTCTACCAAACCGAGTATATGTATGTTCTAAGTTCTCTCATGTTGAATTTAAAGCTACACATGATGATTAGTTTTCATGTTGAATTGTCAGGTTCATTTTCAACCATTTACATCTTAAAACAGTTGAACCATGACAAATTCCAGGGAAGACCTTACATGGCAACATGAGGTCAGACTTGATCCCAATAAAAAAAATAAAATTATTTATAATTACTTCCAAAAAGTGATTAGTAGTGGGGCATTTAGGTTCATACAACACTTGGCAAGGGGTTAAGGGAGATGTTTCTGCATGCAATAGTGTCCCTAGCAATGTAAAAAAACAGATGGCGGCCATTCTCAAGGATATCAAGGGTAAAAAAAGTCGCAAAACAGAGGATGAATGAGGAGATAGCAGACTTATATACGCCATCGAGCGGAATGAATCCAGAAGAGCAATATAATCATGACTTGAAGATGGACACAAGAATGAGCTTGTACGAAATGTACTAGAGAGAAAGTGAGTTCGGAATGCCTGATGGTTATGGCCATGCATGGAGGGCCCAGCTCAAGCATGGATGGTGGGGCCAGCTCGAGCATGTATGGCGGGTCCAACTCGAATATGTATGGAGGGGTTGGTGGCAATATGTATCCAGAGGCATCAGACGTTGAAAAAATTATTCTTGGTTTATCTAGGAGCACTAGTGTTGAAAGTCATGGTTGTATAGACCCATTTCTTTCAAAGCCCAAGTCACAACAGATGACCCTCAAAGGCATGGTGAAAAGTACAAGGAACATGTTGGGCAGATATGTTGGTAAAAAATTGTACGCTAAAGGAATCCCCTTTGATGCAGCCAATAGCCCCATATTTCCTACCTATGGTCAACGCAATCCAGAGAGCCAGGCCGGGGGTAAAACCCCCAACTGTATATGAGCTTAGTGGGCCGATCTTGGATGAAGAGGTAGAGGAAGTTAGGAAGTGAATTGAAGAATATAAAAAGGGTTGACCAAGAACAGACATTACTCTCACGAGTGATGGTTGGTTGAATAAAGTTAGCAAAAATGATTATCTTAACTTCTTGACCTATTCCCCAAAAGGTACAACCTTTTTGTCTAGCAAAGACGTCTCAGGGAAAAAGAAGGATGCAAACTTCTTGGTATGACTATACGACCAGATAGTGGAGGAAGTGAAAGATAAGCATGTGGTCCAATTTATTATGGACAATGCGGGTGCTTGTGTTTCTACGGGCAGCAAGTTGATGGATAAGAGGAAACATCTAGTATGGACCCTGTGTGTTATACACAACATCAATCTTATGTTAGAGGAGATCGGCGAGATGAAAATTGTGAAGGAGACTCTAGAGGCAGCAAGGTTCGTGTCAATATTTATAGATAACCACCCTAAAATCTTACTTTTTTCAGAGAATAATCTGAGAAAAAAGAGATAATCAAGCCTGCCATAACCCCCTTTGCGACAAATTACTTGATTGTGGACTCTATTTAAGAATCCCAAGCTGCATTGAAGAGATTATTTACCAGCAAAAAGTGGTCAAATGACTGCCTCTCGAAATCTAGTAATGGGCTAAAAGTGGAGGGCATAGTCACAGATAGGTTTCCAGTGTCGTAGAGGCCACTGCCCCTTTGGTCACGGTGTTAAGAATGGTGGATGTTGATAAGAAAGCTACCATAGGCATGCTTTACGAAGGTATCGAGAGGGCCAAATCAGCTATTGGGGAGAAGTGTAGTTTTGCTAATAAAGTGATTGAGATTATAGAAAGAAGATGGAACACCAAATTTGGCCATCCAATTCATTATGCAGGTACATATATATTTATATCCTTAGAATGTTTAATTTTAAAATATTTTTTTAATGAAAATTTAAATGACTTTTCTCTATCTATGTATTTTTTAGGTTACTATTTCAACCCAAAATTTTTCTATTTAACACCTGAACATCCTCATAAGATTATGGAAGGGGTATATTATTGCCAGACTGGAGAGAAGCCAGCGAAACTAGGTAGTGGCAAGACGAGGTAATATTTAATATTTGGGTAAGAACTTCATTGAGTTGTTGTATTTGTGAGGAAAAACTAATGCACTGAAACGAAATTTTTGTTTTAGCATTCTATGTGCAGGGATACTGTAGGATCCTTCACAACTAGACTTGCCAGGAATTCTCGAACTAAGATGGATCTAGGTTAACCCCTAACTAATATTTTATTCTTTCATATCTTTAATCTTATGAATTGTTCTTGCCCTTATAATGCTTTTTTCATTTTAATCCAGCTGAATGGTGTGAGATATATGGTAGTGATGCACCTCACCTAAGGACGATAAAAATCAAGGTGCTCTCCCAAACATGTTCTGCTATTGGGTATGAACGAAATTGGAGTACGTTTCAATAGGTGCACATTATTAGGAAGAATCAACTTGCTTCAGAGAGGCTTCATAAACTAGTCTACGTTCATTACAACTTAAACCTCCAAGAGCGGCAAATAAGATAGAAGCTTGAAGACTACAGGCCGCTAGACTTGGGCACAATATTTATCAGAGATACAGCAGAACAATGGGTAGTAGAGGAAGATGAGCCAATGTTACATAAGAGAGCGTTCCTTGAGGCTATCGGTGAAGAAGATCTTGAAGAAAGTGATAAACAACATGAAAGATGAAGCAACCGACTAACATATCAACAATTCGTCGGAGATCTCAGTGGTATTACACCTAATGAGGGAGAGTGGAAATGGGGTATAAGGGAAAATGAGAGAGATGATAATTCTGAGGCCACTCTATCCCAACCTAATTATTCACATATCGAATCCCAACAACAAGAGGGTAGGGACGAGCATGACAGTGTAGGTGAGCATGAAGGATGGATAAGCCTCGGGGATTTTGGATTAGAAGCGCAACAAAACACTAACATTCAAAGATTTGGGTATAGTTAGGTGCCCACTAATTTGGATGATTCGTTTCTAGATCAAGTCAATGAATTGTCACATGACTTCAATCAATGGCACTAGCGTGACCAAGATGAAGAACAATGTCATCTTTCATTTTATTATTAGGTCGTATTTTATGAATTTTATGCTTTATTGTAGTCCATGTATGATGATCTTCATACATGATAATTCTATGCTTCTCCTTTATGTGATGTAAATTTAATGGTTAACAGTTGTACCCCCATTTCTTAGTGAATTCCTAAAAAGCAACATTTATAATGAATTTTAATATTTTTGTTGGGGTTTTTTTAAGGCTTAATCTGACAAATTCGGCCGATTCCCAATCCAGATCGTCGATTCACCGATCCGTTGGGGTGCTCGATTTGGGGCACCAATCTATTTTTTAAACCTCTGCTCATACATTAAAGTATAGAACCTCCATGGATAAATAACTTCCTTCTTTAACCATTTAACAATATTCATGGAATCCCCTTATACTTCCACTGGTTTTTTAAATTCCTTTGCCAATTTAACCCCTTGAAGCACTGCACGAAGCTCAACCTCATTTTCAGTCTCTACCCCTATAGGTCCATGATACTTCAATAGGAATTTACCTGCCCAATCTCTTACTATATCTCTCACATCCTCTTGAACAAGGTTTCCCAATGAAAATCCATTAAAATTAAGTTTAACCCAACTAATATTTGGGCATTTCCATTAGCATATTCTGATTTTCTTCACATATTTCTCTCTATTAAGCACATTGAGATTATACAACATATCCAATCTCAAAACACCCCACCATTCTTTGTTAATACTTAAAATTCAGCAATCACCACACGAATGTTTTTATCAGTTCAATCAAAGATAAGCTTTTACTTTCAAAACATCTATTCATCTCTTTCCATATTTCCCATTCCACAATAGTCTTGGATGTTTTCCAAATGACCCTACCCTTTGT